CAGGAGAAACTAGCTGATGTTCAACATTCAGTCTGAGAATTGTTCTCTTCACAGCAGCACTTATTATTGACACAATGGTTGAACACAGTGCAGAAGGAGAGCCCCGCCTACTGGATGATGTCGCCCTCTGTCTCCTCTTTGAGTCTCACTTCTCTCACTTCCTCTTCCTCCTGGTTCACAGACTGTTAGCAGCATTTGAATCACTGTGAGGAGGGAGGACGGAGCACTTTGCACTGTGTGCAAACACAACGTGGAAGCACAAATGTTCTCCATCACTGATGCTTCTCATGCTTAAAGTGAGACTCAGGGTCAGATATTTTTTTAGATCATTTGAGGTTTAAGCGTGACATCCTCAGAAGGCTCCAGAACATGTGACATGTCATGTTTTACAGTTGTTTTTGTCAAAGCAAAGAAAATGTAGTTTTGCACGTTTTTACAGCACGAATTCAAAGCAACATAAACATTGAGAAATATCATTTTTAAGACCAGGAGCACCAAAAACATCACAACAGATTCAAAGTAGTTGATCTTTCATGTGAGCTCAAACTTAAAGAGTATTCTGAAGTTTAGGTTGAAAATGAATTCATGATGGTCAAGTTAGTGTTTGATGTGTAGAATAAATATTCCTTCCTACTGGAAATTGTTTTGTAATATCTGGAGACATTTAAAAGATGTGGAAGCAAGATCCACAGATGAGAGGAGAGCAGGTGGTCTCCAGGGTCATGGACACTTTGAACCACTCTGGGGAAACAGGATGGATATAAAGCTTTGTGTGGACTGTGACTCAGACGGTGTCAGAGCAGCTTAAACATCAGTGAACAGCAGCTTCACCAGGAATACGTCCTGATGCCACAGTGTTGGAAAAGAAGGAGAGCTTTTACTTTAAACTGTACATAAAGGCATGCAGATCAGTCAAACTGGGGTTGTGTTCATTGTTCCTGAGGTTCATGTTAACATACAGGGAAGGATCAAGGGTGGATGATCATAATACACCAGAGAAACTCACAAGACTGTTACCTGTTCAATATACTGCAGATACAAGTCAGCAGACGTCCTGACAGAGAGCCAACAAACACAATCATTCTGTAAATAAGGAACGAAGCAGTAGATCAGCCTGCAAAGCAAGCTCCACAAAGCTGCCCCTCTAATCAGCTTCAGACACACAGAAACACAAAGGATGATGAAGCAGAAACGATGCAAAAGCAGTGGGTGGAGGAAAAGGAAGGATGACGGTGTTACAGGACAGAGGAAAGCAGGAGAGATGAGTCATCGGCACTTTGGACGCTCTGGTTTAAACAGCAGGAAACTGACAGCTGTGAGGAAACATCGTCTTTTTCTCAGTGACGCTGGTCCACACTCCACGCCAGCAGATGGCGCTAATGCACCACTTCCATGTTTTCCAGCCACCGGGACAGCTTCCCTGTGACACGAGGCGGAAGTGAAGAGGAAACGCTGCCAGTATTGTTCGCTTTCCTCCGGGAGCTTCAGCAGGAAGTCGGAGCTGTGGTGGTCTCTCCGCCGGATCTGTGAGCTGTCGGAGCCGCGATGTCGTCAGTTCGGTACCTGAGAGAGTTTATCAACGAGCGACTAACTGCTGCCGCCGAGGAAATCTTCCTGGAGTTTGAAAAAACCATCGTCCAGTACGAGGAAGTGATCGACCGGCAGCAGAGGCTGCTGAGCATCACCTGGAAACCCGAAACACAGCTGCACAAGACAGGTGAGCCTCAGCCTGACGCAGGGGAGGAGCTTTTGTTCCCACCTGAGCCAATCAATGAATCAGAGCCAGAACACTTTATTAACCCAGCCTGATTTCTTATAGATGCTCAGCTATGATGTAAACACTGAAATGAGGTCCTCTGTCCAAGGTGCAGCATATGAAATGTTGAACAACACTGTTTACGATAAAAACGAGATATTAGAAGTGAAAAGGTGTCACAGCGAGCAGGCGTGAGGCCCACTCAGGTATTTCCTGTGGAATGAGGCTCCTGCTGTGCAGCACGTCGTGGAGACAGCCGGGCTCCACACCCACACCAGCCTCGCAGATCGGTGTGCTGAGTCTGTGGGTGTGTGCTGCACCGACCACCACACACTCACCTGAGCACTGAACTGCAGGCCACACGCTGTCACACAGATGGCCAACTGTTCATGTGAGCGGCGAGGCATCCACCCGCACCGCTGTCAGCTCACCACCCAGTAAAGCCAGCCCGGTGGTGCTGAAGGCGCTGCAAGAGTTCAACATGATTCTCACGCAGCTCGTCAGCTGTCTGAGTTTTCAGCACAGATGTGAGGCGTGACCTTTGACCCTTTGCATGTTCAGACTCATCCTGAAGATGCACTAAAATGCTCCACAGAGTGGGAGGGCAACATGTTCACTCTGTGGAGCCTCATTAGTGGTCAAAACAATATATTTGCTCTGAACTGTTTTTGTGGAATTCTCAGATTTCTTGTCTCTTTCTGTCCCTCCAGACGTCCCACAGCAGCCTGTCTGTAAGGAGGAGGAGGTTCTCCCTGAGCAGCAGGAGAGGAGCTCCAGTCTGGACCAGGAGGAACCAGAACCTCCGCAGATTAAAGAGGAACCCGAGGAACTGTGCAGCAGTCAGGAGGGAGAGCCGCTGGTGCTGAAGGAGGAGATCGATACTTTTATGGTGACTGAAACTTATGAGGAAAGCGAGCACAGCGACTCAGAGCCGGACAGCGATCAGCTCCTCTCTCACAGCTCTGCCGAGAGAACCGAGATCCGAGACCAGGAAGGAGTCCAGAGCGCAGATCCAGGAGCGTCTAGAAGTCACAGCAGCAACGCAGGAGACTCTCCGGTATCAGAGAGTCCGTGTAACGCCACTGCAGGGGAAAAGTCTTTAACGTGCGGCTTTTGTGGGAAAGCCTTCAAGAACAAGTACAAGATGATTGATCACCACAGAGTCCACACGGGTGAGAAGCCGTATTCTTGTGAAACGTGTGGGAGGAGTTTCACTCAGAGGGGAACGCTGACCGTCCACATGAGGACTCACACAGGCGAGAAGCCGTATTCCTGCAAAATATGTGGGAAAGGTTGCACGGTGAGGAGTAATCTGATGGTCCACATGAGAACGCACACAGGTGAGATGCCTTACCTGTGTAATACCTGCGGGGACAGGTTTTCAGACTTGTCGACATACAAAAGACACACGACCGTCCACACGGGAGAGACGCCGTATTCCTGCGAAACGTGTGGAAAGGCTTTTAACCGAGGCAGCAATCTGCTGCGCCACATGAGAACTCACACAGACGAGAGGCCTTATTCTTGTCAAACGTGCGGGAAAATGTTCACACGCAGTAATCATTTGTTGCGCCACATGAAAATTCACACGGGGGAGGAGTCCCAGTAGTGGTACTGTTAGTGGTGCTGGTCACAGCTACTTTAAAGCTGTCCTTATACACAAAAAGGAAAGAGACGAATGTAATCCTGTCACACCAGGATGCTCCAAGTATTATTCCTACAGTGTGTAAGAATGAAAACGTCCAGTTCGAACAGATATTCAGGAGTGACTGCAGCCTCCGAGTGACAGGTGGGAACCTGAAAGTGGGAATTCAGGATGCACAAACCCAACTAGTCAATAGTTTTTTATGGGATATCCATCATTTGGATGTTGTGTGTGCTGCAGGCTGCTCTCATATTATTCTCTATGACATCCTCACAAAGACCAAAGTCTGTGTTTGTATGTGTGAAACAGGAATAACACGTCCCAAGTCTGCGAGTCCGTCAGGGTCCGCTCGAGTCCCAGTGACTTAACCGGTCGCAGCAGATGGCCCCGCCCCTCCCTGAGCCTGGTTCTGCTGGAGGTTTCTTCCTGTTAAAAGGGAGTTTTTCCTTCCCACTGTCGCCAAAGTGCTGCTCACAGGGGTCATATGATTGTTGGGTTTTTCTCTGTGTGTGTTATTGTAGGGTCTACAGTATAAAGCGCTCTGAGGCGACTGTTGTTGTGATTTGGTGTTGTATAAATAAAACTGAATGAAATCGTCGGGCACTTTTCACGAGTTACTGTGGGGACATCCACGTCCCTGCTGGGTTTTTGAGATTAATCCCAGGCAGTTTCCAACCCAGAGAAAGCTCTCCAGGATGGGGAGCAGCAAAAACGCATCATCAATGTCTCAATAAGTAACAAAGTCGTCAGATTAAATATAAAAGATAACATTTATGTAGCCAGAACAAACCTTTGTTCTAAACCACAGAGCTCAGCTCACACAATGTTTCCCACAGTGAGAGGTCACATGATCAGGCATCGAAGCCTTCAGGGGCGGTTTGGTGTGATTTTAAGTGTAAATGAATTATAACCTGATATGTGGAGAAACAAACTGTAGGAGCTTTTTGTTTTTTAATAGATAGAAAAAGTTTTAAATATATGTTTGTTTGGGCTGTTTGATTGTTAGAGGGACGGATATTTAATCTCTTTGAGCTCATTTTTGTTCGTTTACACAAGTTTATTGTTAGATTTTCAGAATCCACCCAACAACAGAAGAAGCAGTGTTAGAGGTGGTGGCAAAAGCTGAAGGCAAAACATTCATATTAAAACAACTCATGATCATTGTGACAGTAATAAAGTGTAAAGTCTGGAGGTGGTGACTGTGTGCTTCAGACTCCCAGCCAGGACCCGGCTCCCGCCGCGGGACCTGGCTCCAGGTCCCGCGGCCTGAGGGGCCGACGCGAGGCCCAGCCTGCTCCGTGGGAACCTGTCAGAGCCGAGGAAAGCGGAGTTTGGTTCATCTTTCCTCCAGCTTTAATTCGTAAGCTCACAGGTGTGGATGAAAGCAGTGACTGTGACTTACTGCATTTATAGCTGTTGAATACAGTCATTGATTTTATTGACTGTTGTTTATCTCATGCATGCATCAAATAAAGTATTTAATCTGTAAAACCGTCCTCTGTTTGACTTCTTTAAACTGCCAGTAGCTCGTCCTCAGTCATGGACAAATGCAGATCTGTGTCAGCTCCTTATTGGAAGCTTCTAAGCAGTTTTCTCTGAACACACATGAACATGGACTTGGCAGTAAAAGTTGACACAGCCTGAAACCTGTGCAGGACCAAAGCTGTGTGCCAGTGAGATCAGAGCTGCTGTCAGCCACAGAGGTGTATTTGGGGCTCGGCCTGTAGGGGGTGCTGGTGGTGACTCTTGTACCGTCGTGTGTAGTCACACCAGTATAATGTGACGGCCAACCTGGGCTTCTGTACTGGGTTGCCATGGCAGCTCTCACCAAGATGAAATGAACAAATAAACTGCACACACACGTTTTACTGCCCAGGCTGCAGCAGTGGCCTTTGACCTTTAGCTGCTCACGGTCCGTCCTTCACCTTTAAAGGCTCCCACAGACTCTGTGTCAGGATCCACACATGCAGCAAGCTCATCATCGTCTCAGAATACCATCACCACGGAGGAATCCACACAGGTGAGACGCTGTGTCGTCCTGTAACACGAGGGAAACGTTTCAGACAAAATACGGATTCAAGAACTGCCTGGAAACATGTTTCAGTCTAAAAGCAGCTTCAGACTAATAAAGACCAGAGTGAGAAGTTTGATTCAGTCATGTGTTGTATAAATGCTATTTGTTTGTTAGTGTTTTTATCTGCTTTTATGTTTGGTTTGTGGTTGATGTGGATTTGCTGCTCATGTGAATCCTCCCACAGTGTTTCATTAGCAGCTGTAACCACAGTGACTCTGATAAAACAGGAATTAGCAGAATCCATCTGATATGAAGCTGTGCTTTGAATACCACTTCCCTCCTCTTTGAAGAGTAGTCAGATATCTGTGTTCAGGTTTTTGTACAGCCTCGTCTATAGAGCGAAATCCAAGCGTTTCCAGAAAGCTGGGCAGGGAGGCAGGCAAGTGAGTGCAGCGGTGAAGCAGCACAACAAACCAGCGACTTAATGGAGGTTAGTTATGGCAGGATGGAGAATTACTGTGAGCAGAGAGGTAAAGCAGGTGGGAACGAGCAATACTATGATACATTAACTTCAGCTATGACGTCCGACACTGAACATGGTTAGCAGGCAATCTGGCGGGGAGTGATTGTGAGCGCTGGTCTTAAAAGCCAGCAGCCAAATTACTCACAGAGGCCGTGGCACGTGGAGATGCGGCAACTCCACCTAGGGGATGAGATCACTGGCACAATGGAAAACTCTAGCACTCACCGTGACCATGACACACACACTGTTAAACTTCTCTGCAGCAGGATTACAGTCTACTTTGCTTTCACTTGTTGACAAGTTGATTTTAGAAGGTTTATGGAGAAATAGATTTATTGAATATGTATTGATTCCACCATAGAGTTTATGTTGCTAGTAAAGAGTGGCAGTAGAGGTTTGAATATAATCCTGTTCATCTTACGTACTGAATGGAATAGTTCAGAGGAAAAATTGTTTGGTTAAGTGGACTATTTAAGCAGAACTCAGGTGTTTGAAGAAAGGTTCAGGTCAGTGTAGCTGTGTGCATTTTGACCTTAATTTCCATTGATTTGAGTTCAGTTATGTTTTATGTTTTTTGTTTGGGTCACAAAATGGTGAATAAATCACTTGCTACACTGGACAGCATCAGTTTCCTGCACTTCTTTGGCTGCTTAAGTCAAGTCCTACCACAGCCCCCATCTTAACTGATACTCAAAGACCCAGTGCATCATGGCAGTCCTCCAGCAGTCTATGCCTATCTCAGCATAACTAAGGGAGGATTCAGGGTCACCTGGTCCAGCCCTAACTATATGCTTTAGCAAAAAGGAAAGTTTGAAGCCTAATCTTAAAAGTAGAGATAGTGTCTGTCTCCTGAATCCAAACTGGAAGCTGGTTCTCTGTCAGTACTCTTGGTGCAGCATTTTGGATCAACTGAAAGCTTTTCAGGAGGTTTTTGGGACATGCTGAAAATAATGAATTACAGTAGTCCCACCTAAATGCATCAACTACTTTTTGAGCATCACTCTGAGACATGATGATTCTAACATTGGAGAAACTGTAAAAATAGACCTCAGAATAAAGAAACTATGCAGTCTCTCAGCTGCAGTCCTTCAATGCTGTATCCCAATTCAGGGTCTGCAGCCTTAAAGGCCGCATTTCAAGGCCGATTACGTCACAGCGGCGCGCCGAAGGCTGTCCCAATTCAAAGGCTGCTCGAAATGCGGCCCTGAAATGCGTCCTTCATTTCCCTGAATTTTAAGGACTGTGGCGGTGTAGACTTCGTGGCCCAACATATCCCAGAATGCATAGCGCGGCGGTGGGTGTGGATAATTTTGCCGAAAAAAACGGCGGATGAGGGGCGCCCGAAGAGTAAACTTTAAGTAAGTACTGAATATTATGTCACTTATTTATGTGCAAATGTTTAATAACGAAGAACATTAAAACATTACTGTTGGCCACATGTCGGCAAAGTTATGTGACATTAGTGACGTTTGTACTAACTTGGTTTTAAAGCCTTTACTTTAAAATATACGCCGTTCAATAGCTGAGCTTAATCTTACAGAGAATGATCAAAGCTCATGTAGAAACAAACAAATGAACAAAAGATTTTCTCCTTCATTTCTGTCAAACACAGCTGTATGACACGTTTCCAGCTGTTAGTATCATGGTTGCTAGGCAACCTGGGCAGCGCAACGGAGGCTAGACCGTCCCATTTCACAAGCCTCGCACTTCCGGCCTTAGCGGTCTTTGAGTACGCGGCCCTTGAGGATCGTTGAGGCTGCGTACTTTAAGGCTGCAGACCCTGAATTGGGATACAGCCATCATCAGGATGGTTGTGCTTTGAATCCTGCAGACAGAAATCATCTCATTGGTTGAGTTCAACACCAGTGGGTGGAGCCAAAAACATTATCAAGCCTGGAATTTAAATCTGTGTCAATGTATGTAGCACTCTTGAAAGAACAGAAATGCTTTTAATATGAAAATGTCACATTTGAACGTTCCTGCAGTTGGTTTGTGGTTGATGTGGATTTGCTGCTCATGTGAATCCTCCCACAGTGTTTCATTAGCAGCTGTAACCACAGTGACTCTGATAAAACAGGAATTAGCAGAATCCATCTGATATGAAGCTGTGCTTTGAATACCACTTCCCTCCTCTTTGAAGAGTAGTCAGATATCTGTGTTCAGGTTTTTGTACAGCCTCTTCTACACTTTGTATCACTGTGTTTCTAGAGCACAGTAGTAGAGAGCTGTGTCTGCCAGGGTTAGGGCTGCTATGGTCAGATTAGTTGTTGTAGAAGATGTTTCTGATTCATATCGTTTATCTAGGAATATATTGACACCACGTGATCTTCTTTTGCTCCTTTCCAGAGTATAAACTGAGGAGCCTGAAGGTCAGAATCATGTCTGTACCAGTGAAGGTAAATATCACTGTACCTGTCTCATAGCTACATGTGAGTGTGACAGATTCTCCTTCTGTTTTCAGTGACTTCAGGTTGTTGAGGAGTGATTGAGTCTCCAGCTGTTAGTCCTGGAAAAAGAAAGAAGAAAAGTAGTGAAATGCAGTCTGTATATCTGCTTAATGCAGCAGCTTCAACTAAACTTTAATCCCTGTTCTTAAACTCACCTATAATGTGAGATAGAAGCAAAAAGAGGTGCAGCAACATGTCTTTGGAGTTATTAAAGCCAGACAGACAGCACATGAACAATGTTCTTCCACTGCAGCACAATGACCAACAAATAATGTCATTGGATGAGCTCAACTTCAGTGGGCGGGGCCAGTTTAATAGCTCAGCCAATCAAACAGTTTTGTGCTTCCACAGCAGCTCTGTCTCTGTCTCTGATCTTTACTGCTTCATTTCTCTGTTGTCTTTGTCATCAGTCCAATGACACAAGAATCAGAGGTTTAACAGTGTGTGGCTCCCTCTAGTGGATGTTGTGGAGTATTCTGTTGTCTTTGCTCCAAAGGTTTTTGTACAGAGTTTTGCTGTTTCCTGTCACTGTGGGCTGCAGAGCACAGTAGTACACAGCAGAGTCAGACACTGCAGCAGAGGAGATCTCCAGATCTGCTAGTTTTCTCGTTTGTCAATGTGAGCTGAGAATCCCGACACAGCTCGATGAACTGATCCTCCCTCTGTGATGTAGAGCAGGAACTCTGGTCTGGATCTCTGGTATTGTCGGTACCACTGGATATTGTAGATAGAACCATCATATGTACAGGTCAGGTTGATGTTTCCTCGCTCTGCAACAGCTTCTTCAGCACGTTCCTGCTTTATGCTGTTCATGGAGCCCAAAGCTGCAAATGAATGATTCATGTCAGTCTTTTTCTTCCTTTGTGAGCATAATGAGATGAAGAACTCTGCTAATAATAACTCTGATCAAATCTTGTCACAATGAGACTTTTCTGTGTTCTAACACTCACCTATGCAGTGAGAGAAAAGTACCAACAGGTAAAGGAACATGTTTCAGGTGCTGAAGTCACACAGCAGATGAACAAAGTTCAGCAGAATGAAAAGACTAAGCAGCCTCTCTGCTGCACAGCCTTCTCCTCAACATCAGGCTGGAGTTCTGCAG